TACTATTACTACTAACAGAACTACCGACAACAGCGCTATACGTAACGATATTACGAGTAATATTTTCACTACTAATACTACTCATACTGATGATAACACTACTAATAAGCATAGTCATCGTCATGCGAGTAAGACTACGACCAATACTGAGAAGGGGACTTACAACACTAACCATAATATTAGTTCTGCTGATCGTATCAATGACAACCATCATAATAACAATAATGCTACACCGCTTGATCTTAATACGAATAAGGAGGGGGAGGCGGAGGAGGAGGATGAGAAACAATACGTATCATACGAGCAGTAGTAAGGGGACGGATATGGATATCAAGAAGAGTACTATAACGACGACGAAGAAGCATACTACGAATACGACGACTACTAATAACAATAATAATGTAACACATTAGAAGAAGACTCGTAATCTTCGTAAGAAGAAGACTGCTACGAAGAAACAGCATATTACTCGACGAACAAGAAGTACACCAATGGTATTAAACACATAAGTAATAATACATGAAAGAGCAACAAGAAAACGACGAAAACGAGTGCTCACAACAGTCTCAATCACATTCGTAAGAATACGCCGACTAGTAAGGTGAATCGTAAACATACTAACGGTACTAATACTTATACGGAGAATATGATTTATACGAACACACACTCATGCGATTACTAATGCACATAGCAGCAACCTTGCTATAACAGAAATTAGCGCTGAAAATAAAACTAATAAGCATACTCATCATCGTACGAGGTATAAGAGTATGAGCAGTACCAGGATGAGGGATCTTACCACTACAAGGCTAAACCTATTACTATTACTACATCCCAGGGCCGAAAGTTTTTCTTCTTGCATGGGGACGCATGGATCCATTTTGATCCAATTACGTGTGTGCGAGAGTCACGTGGATCCAATTTCCGTGTCTTCTGGATCATTTTTTTTGCGTGGAAGCTTCGTGGATCCAATTCAGTTCTGGTAATAAGTTTTTAATCGTAATCAATACAAGGGACCCAAGGGGAAATGGATCCACGGAGCCTCGGACCTGCAGCCCAAACTATGATTCTACGGGGGAGGGGTCTCCCTACCGAGAGACACAACACACGGGGACGAGTAGGGACACACAAACCAGGGACGGGCGAAGGGGAATATGAGGGAGGAAGGACGGAGAGGAGGGAGAGGACGAGTCATGTGGGCCTCAAGAGGAAATCCTTCGGCCTGCTCAAGTATTACGAATGCTACCACTAATACTATACTCATACTAAACTAATGGTAATACTACTCGTATTGGTGATTCTAACACTTCTTATCGCATGACTAATAATACGAATAAGGAGGAGGAGGATTTGAAAAACGAGGGGAGGTGGAGGAAGAGGAGGAGGAGGATAATGAGGAGGAGGATGCGGAGGCGTAGGATTACGAGGGGGAGACGGAGGAGGAAGAGGAGGAAGATGAGGAGGAGGAACATGAGGAGTAGGAGGAGGAGGATAATGAGAAGGAGGAACACATAGACAAGGAGGAGGTGGAGGAGGAGGTGGAGGAGGAGGAGGAGGATAAGCAGGAGGAGGAGGAGGAGGACGAGGAAGAGAAGCAGGAGGAGGTGGAGGAGCAGGAGGAGGAGAAGGAGGAGGAGGAGGATGAGAACGAACGAGGGGGACCATGGCAGGAATAAGGAGGGAGGGGTGGCAGCCGTCAGCAGGTTTGGGACATCGTGAGCAACCAACAGCACTTCCTCGGCCGCCTCGAGCTCGGCCTGAGGGACGCGGTCATCGAACCGGAGCCAGGGCACGACAGGCCTGCTTCCTTTCCCCCCGGGAGGAGGAAGGGTGAGGACGGGGTAACGGCGGCACGGTACAGGAGCTGGTGGATGCATTGTCTTTCTGCTCTGTCTTTTTTTTTTTTTCCCTCTCTCTCTCTCTCTTCCTTTCCCTCTTCTACTCCGTGTCTCCTTGAGCTTTGGCGCTTGCTCTTTGCTTTTTTGTAGGCGGTAGGGTCGGCCGCTCGGATTCTTCGGCTTGCTGTGTGCGTGTGAGAGGCATGAGGACGAGGGAAGGGGGAGCACGAGGAGCGGGGAGGAATGTGGGGGTCCCGGCATGCGGCTCGGCTGGGCCGTCGGTTGCTGAGAGGGTGCTCCGCCTGTCCTTTTCTCTTCGTATGCTCCAATCCCTACAGTCGAGCTTGATTAGTAGGTCGACCATTCCAAATCGAGAGTACCCTTGTGTCCTGTCACCTTTGCAACCCGCATGCCCTTTGGTGTTCTGGGGCCACGTTGCCGTCGGAAGAGTCTTGTATCCTCTCGCGTGTCCTGTCCAGTCAAGTCCGACTGTATCTCTCTCTTTCTCTCTCTTTCTTTCGGTGCCAGCTTGAGCACCCTCGTTGGCTAGCTCGCAGGCGCCCACGCTTTCTTGAGATGGGGGGCCTTTGGAAACCTCGGTGGGACTGCTTGAGTGTCGGGCCCCTTCACCTCGGACTCTCCAGGTCTGTTCGTGGACTCCACTCCTGGAGTTCCTCAGCTACGGGGTAGCCAGTGCCATCGCGGCTGTCCTGCACCACCTGGGATGAGAAGCAGGATCACGCTACGAATGGTGCTTCTCCATGTCAGTTATGTGCCGTCAGCCTCGCAATCGCGCGCGCCGACGTTGTGCGCCGGTCTGTGTCTGATGCATATCCCTGGTTGTAGCTCCACCCGGCTTGAGTACCGACCTGCAGCTTGCGAGTTGCGAAGTTGGCTCTTGGGCAGTTCGCACGAGCCAAGAGTCGAGCCGTCATGATCACGGAACGCTCTCGTGCACAAGGGTCTCGCGTCGCCCCCGCTGGTTTGGATGCGGTCGCGTCCTCACTGCATGGCGGGTTTCGTGGAGAAGGCCAGTGCGTCTCACGCGCGCTGCGTGGCTCACCCTGCAGCGCCGCGCCGCACGCGTGCGCGCGTTCCGCGCGAGGGCGCAGGGGCAAGGAAAAGGAAGGAATTCTAGGCGCTTTGCGTAACCCTACTAGTGTGGTTGCCGGTCACCCTGGCCGCCCGCCCCTACCGACTCGTTGCACGTGACTTTGGCAGTACTGGTGACCCGCCTACCGCCTGCCCTTTCCACTCGACGGCCTTGAGGTGCTGCGTGAGGCTCCGGCCCACCGCTTTAGGTTAATTCGTCTGTGCGCGCCCCGCTCTGACTGGACTCGCCGCTGGCGCGCTCGCCTGCGGCCGCTGACTAAAAAGTAACCCTACTTGCCCATCCAGAAACGATGCCCAGGGGAGTTGCCTCTACCAGGGAAGTGGGCAGGACACAGAGGAAGGGCCCTTTCGTGGAGGCCTCGTGGGCCTCTTGGGGGCCTCCTGCCGTGCCCGGGGGTCCCTTGGAGCGTCGCCCTGGGTGCCTCGGGGAGCCTCTCGGGGCCTCCTGGGGGTCTTTTGGGGACCCCTTGGAGGCCTCTTGCGCGCCTCGTGGGGCCTCCTGGGCACCCTTTGGGGCCCTCCTGAGGCGCTCTTGGGAGTCTTGGGAACGCTCCTGGGGCCATCTTGGAGCAGATCGATTGAAACAATGGGAGCTCCAATTACGGCCCCCTTTTGGGAGCCCCAGAAGTCGCCTCTGGGGCCCTTTTTGGGGCACCATTGGAGCGCTCGTGGGCGCTTTTGGGGCTGTTCCGGGGCTCTCTTGGGCTTCTCTTGGGGCCCTCATGGGCCCTCCTGGAGCCATCTTGAGGTTCCGGAAGGCCATCGGAAGCAAAAAGGCGAGAAGGCAGAATTCAGTGGTTATCCTCATGCTTTTTACCTAACAGCGAAGACTGATAGGTTTCTAGTGGTCTCAAAAGAGAGCATCATGACTCCCCAGAGGGGGTCTGGGCAGGATCCGGGGAGAATCCGCGGAAGTCGTTTTAAGCAAACAGGAGCTCCATTCCCGGGCCACATTCTGAATGCCCGGAGCCAGCCGTAGGTCACTTCGCGTTCTTCGAGTTCCCCAAACTCCATTCCCGGGCCACATTTTGAATGCCCAGAGCCAACTGTAGGCCACTTCGTGCTCTTCGAGTTCCCAGAACTCCATACCCGGGCCACATTTTGAATGCCCAGAGCCAACTGTAGCTCTTTGCGTGCTCTTCGAGTTCCCAGAACTCCATTCCTGGGCATGATTTTGAATGCCCGGACCCAACTGTATGTCACTTCGTGTTCTTCGAGTCCCCAGAACTTCATTCCCGGGCCACATTTTGAATGCTGAGGCAGGCTGAGGCTGAGGCTGAGGCAGGCTGAGGCAGAGGCAGGCTGAGGCTGAGGCCGAGGCTGAAGGCAGACTGAGGCTGAGGCTGAAGCAGGCTGAGGCTGAGGCTGAGGCAGGCTGAGGCTGAGGCTGAGGCAGGCTGATGCTGAGGCAGGCTGAGGCTGAGGCTGAGGCTGATGCAGGCTGAGGCTGAGGCAGGCTGAGGCTGAGGCCGAGGCTGAAGGCAGACTGAGGCTGAGGCTGAAGCAGGCTGAGGCTGAGGCTGAGGCAGGCTGAGGCTGAGGCTGAGGCTGCAGGCTGATGCTGAGGCAGGCTGAGGCTGAGGCTGAGGCTGATGAGGCTGAGGCTGCAGGCTGAGGCTGAGGCTGAGGGCTGAGGCTGAGGCTGCAGGCTGAGGCTGAGGCTGAGGCAGGCTGAGGCTGAGGCTGAGGCAGCTGAGGCTGAGGCTGAGGCTGCAGGCTGAGGCTGAGGCTGAGGCTGCAGGCTGAGGCTGCAGGCTGGCTGAGGCTGAGGCTGAGGCTGCAGGCTGAGGCTGAGGCTGAGGCTGAGGCTGAGGCTGACTGATGCAGGCTGAGGCTGAGGCCGAGGCTGAAGGCAGACTGAGGCTGAGGCTGAAGCAGGCTGAGGCTGAGGCTGAGGCAGGCTGAGGCTGAGGCTGAGGCTGATGCTGAGGCAGGCTGAGGCTGAGGCTGAGGCTGATGCTGAGGCTGAGGCTGAGGCAGGCTGAGGCTGAGGCCGAGGCTGAAGGGAGGCTGAGGCTGAGGCTGAGGCTGAGGCTGAGGCTGAGGCTGAGGCAGGCTGAGGCTGAGGCTGAGGCAGGCTGAGGCTGAGGCTGAGGCTGAGGCTGAGGCTGAGGCTGAGGCAGGCTGAGGCTGAGGCTGAGGCTGATGCAGGCTGAGGCTGAGGCAGGCTGAGGCTGAGGCCGAGGCTGAAGGCAGACTGATGCTGAGGCTGAAGCAGGCTGAGGCTGAGGCTGAGGCAGGCTGAGGCTGAGGCTGAGGCTGAGGCTGATGCTGAGGCAGGCTGAGGCTGAGGCTCAGGCTGAGGCTGGGTCAGGCTGAGGCAGGCTGAGGCTGAGGCCGAGGCTGCAGGCAGACTGAGGCTGCGGCTGAAGCAGGGGGAGGCTGAGGCTGAGGCAGGCTGAGGCCGAGGCTGAGGCTGAGGCAGGCTGATGCTGAGGCAGGCTGAGGCTGAGGCTGAGGGTGATGCAGGCTGAGGCTGAGGCAGGCTGAGGCTGAGGCTGAGGCTGAGGCTGACGGCAGACTGAGGCTGAGGCTCAAGCAGGCTGAGGCTGAGGCTGAGGCAGGCTGAGGCTGAGGCTGAGGCAGGCTGATGCTGAGGCAGGCTGAGGCTGAGGCTGAGGCTGATGCAGGGTGGGGCTGAGGCAGGCTGAGGCTGACTGAGGCCGAGGCTGAAGGCAGACTGATGCTGAGGCTGAAGCAGGCTGAGGCTGAGGCTGAGGCAGGCGGATGCTGAGGCAGGCTGAGGCTGAGGCAGGCTGAGGCTGAGGCTGTGACTGCGACTGCCGTTGCCACTGCGACTGTCATCGCGAATGCGACTAATTACGACTGCGAGAACAGTAGAATTCTACAACTGGATTCTCATCTGAATCTTAAGGGGAATGCTTCCAGATATGCTCCTACACATCGCTGTTAGGTTGCTTTGCTGGGATAATTGAAGGATTCTGGCATTTTGGTAGCCTTCTGGGGAGGCTCCGCGGCCACTCGGAGCCGTCTTGGAACGGCTTCTTGGGGCATCATGGGAGTCCTCTGGAGCCATCTTGGGCTACATTGTGCCATCTTGGAACGCCGACGTGGCAGCGCGCCGCCACAGAGGTCAACGCTGCACTTCCGCCCGCAACTCCTTCAAGCCAGTCGGCGTGCATTGCGGTGGCATGGCGCTTTGGCCACGTTGTGCTGCCGACAAGCGGTGCGAAACGTCGGATGTCATGCTGGCCGCCGAGGCCCAAGCTGCAGTAGTGTGACAGCTACGAATGGCCGAGGTTGGCACCCACGACGCTGTGCCGCTGTTGGCTGCGTGCAGTCAGCACGCGCCGCATCGGTGCTGCTCGGCATTCGCTGGGCCAACGCGACGACCCGTCAGCAACCGCGGCTAGTGAACACCAACAGTTAGAAACACTGCTGCAAACAGCTGGATGAACCGCGTCTGCGCGCCGCGCGCGCGCCTACGAGGCCCGGCGCGTGGGTGCTTTCCCGCCGCGCGGCAGCGCGCGCGCAGCCACGTCCAGCTACGTCCGCTGGCACCCGCTCAGTGCCGAAGGCAAGCGGCTACGCTGGCAGCGTGCAGGACGCAGAGCCAGCGAGCGAACCTGGCTGAAAGGCACGACCAGCGCCGCGGCGTGAGTGCACGCCAGGCACGATCTGTGCTGGGCACCCGCGAGCCTTCTCCTGGCTGTGCCACCAGTCAGTGAGCAGGAGCCAGAGCGAGGAACTCGTCACTGGGCTCTCGCTGTTGTGGGGTGCCGCTCCGATTCAACAGCCCTGGCCACAGGCATCGCCTCGCGCGCATGCGCTGGTCATGGACGAGCGCGCGTTGCACTCCAGGGTTCGCCGCGCCGCCGTTTTGGCTGAGGCCACGTAAACATGGGCGAGGCACGCGAGGCAGCCAGCTGTTAGAGGCAACTGTCCACGTGGCGCAGCAGCTGCTTCGCCGCCTCTCTCTTTCGCTGCGCGCTCTTCCGTGATCAGGGCGCTTCGCAGGTGTGAATTATATTGCCTGGTGGCCCTGGCTCGAGTAGGACCCGTGCGCCCCCGCCGCGGCCAGTGTGACTCACGGCGTGCACGCGTTGTCTTACAATATTTGAGGTTACTGCAAAGAGCCCATATTCTCTCCTTTTGTCGCCATGTCTGTCACCACTGCTAATCCCGCGTGTCCAGTTATTCCTCCTCCTCCTCATCCTTCTCCCCCTCTCCCCTTCTGGGGAAAGAACCACATGCCGACTCTCCCGGGATGCGTTCGGACCAGGATATCGTGGCGAATATAGCCGTGGCGACGAGGGCCTCCAAGCGGCCCCCAAAAGGCGAACGCGAGGGAACGATCGCGGTATCGGTACCCCACCCTTTTCGTTCATCCGCCATTTCGTTCTCCAATTTGCGCATTTTTTCCGAGTGCGTATAACCCGAGGGGCCCTCCTTGGAGTTCACGTCCGCCTTGGCGCGTTTCCGCTTATATAATAACACAGCGTCATGGGAAGGGATGGGTGTGACGGGTGGGATGTCAGACGTAGCGTTAGTGGGCTGAGCTTATCCCCCCTTCTCCCCGTCATCCCTGGCGCTTGGCCGCAGTTTTCGGCATCAGCTTGAATGCCGCAGCCATCTGGCAATTGTGCGCACGTCTGACCATCGGCGTCACCTCAAACATTAATCGTATGTGTACGTCGCCCCAAAAGGGCGCCTCGCGCGCCGAAGAATCTGATGGCGCATGCTCCGTGGCCGGCGGTTTGTGGCCGTACCGCTTGGGAAACGATAGTGCTATTTCTTCGGGTCGGACGCACGCCTCCGAGGAGGACAATCGGCACTGGTATTGTGGAGGACGATCAATGGAAAGCCAGTATGTTGCCAAATACGTCCCAGATGTCCAACATGTAAAGGCATGCTTCATACATGCAAACACACGTCCAAAACATGTCTATAACATTTCCCGACACACTGATAAACACACTCGAAACTCAATGATCGGATTGTTAGAGTGTCCATTGTCATGGCATCCACAATACCACCACGTCGTTCCGCGCTCCACGCGGGCGTTTTGCTATCGCCTTGACTCGGCCTCCGTCCTCGCCCCTTCCGCCCCGGAGGTCAGAGCGCCGCGGCGACCCACGGGACCGCCGCCGCTCGGGCCAGGACCGTGCTCTGCGCGGCCCGTCCCGTCGGCGGGAGTGCGGCGTGAGAGGAGGGGGGGGGGGAGAGAAGGCTCGGGTTGCGGAGGACGATCCACGCAGAGGAAGCATGTTGCCGAATGTTTTCCAGATGTCCAGAACATGTGTGAAACATGCTCGTATCATGTACATGACATGTTGAAAACATGTCTAGAACATGTTTTGCACATTCTAAACACGTTTTTGAATTCAGTGATAGGGTTGTTCGAGTGTCCACTGTCATGGCATCCACAGGGCTCGGGGCGAAGCGGGGAGGATAGCTACTTCCTGCTCCCGCTCGAGGTTTTCGGGCGGTCTCGTCGGTTCTCGGCCGCTTGCCGGCCCTGGGAGACTCCCCTGCGCTTCGCCCAGGGCGCTCCGGGGTGCCCGGACTGTCCCAGACGGCCGCCAGAGACCCGAGTCGTGACCCAAAAACCAGGTCGGCGGCGAGCGAGGGGTGGAAGTGAAAAGCAGAAGCCTTCTCAGAGGGCGGCGGGACTTCTCAGAAGCCCCTCGCGCCATCCGAGAAGTTTTCTGTGTCTTCGGGGAAGGTCAGAAAGTTTAACGGACGGCCCAAGGACATGCTCGCGTCGCGAAAAAAACTGGACATGCTCGCGTCGTGAAAAAAACAGGACGCGAGGTATTTGATCGTCGTTGGCCCCCGGGGGGGCGGGGGGGGCCCTCGCTGGGCGCCGGGACCAGGAACAATAACGATTCTCTCTCTGCAGGAGGAAAGTTCAAAAGTAGTTTGATCACCTTCGCATGTGTTTGGTTAATTTTAAATTTTTCGTCCAAAAGCCGCCTGTAGGGGGACATGCCCGACCTAACGTGAATGGGTCAAGCACACCCAAGAGGGGGTCCAGCTGAAAGGGGGTGGTGCAACAGACTTGGGGCAATTGTATTGCAAATGTACTGCTCTGGAGAATTGTATTGCGTTGTATTGCGAGTAGTGCATTGCGCGCGAAAATCCAGCAATACATTTGCGCCCCTGCCCGGAATGTGCTGCGCGCCCCAAGTGTGTTGCAACCTCACAGATCGATTACTCCAGGTCTATTGCACCACCCCCTGGTCCCTGGACCCTCTTTTGGGTCAACCCGAAGGGGGGGCATAGGCTCAGGGGGGGGGGCGCCTCGGCCCCCGAGCGCCCCTGTGATCGCCGAGAGAGGGGGCGGGAGAGAGCCCACGCCGCCTAAGGGAAACGACGTGCGGCTTTGCGGCGGTCCGGGCGCCTCTCGCCGAGATCGCTGCGCCGCCGCCTACAGGGTTGACGTGTTCCCTCCCCGTGGGCCAGGCCCCCCCCTATCGTTCAGTCGGGCCTGCCCCTCTAGAGGAGGAATCTATCCAGACGTGGTCAACACATGGTCTGGGGACGATTTCTTCGACCACCTCTGGCCATTTTGGGGCATTGTTTGACTATGTTAGAATTTTTCGTTCAGAGGAGGAGGAGGAGGATGAGAAGGAGGAGGAGGAGGAGGAGGAGGAGGAGGAGGAGGAGGAGGAGGAGAGGAGGAGGAGAGGAGGAGGAGGAGAGGAGAGAGAGGAGGAGGATGGCTTGCCCAAGCCCTTCGAAGAAACCCTCAAGATGGGGCCCCGGCCTCCTCGGGAGTCGGCCCCCGCCTCCCTTGCGCCGCCCCCGCGCGCGCGCCGCGTGAGGCGGGGGAGGCTCGGCTCGGCTCGGCTCTGCGCACACGGTCGGCTCCGCCTCTCCTCCTCCTCCTCCTCCTCCTCCTCCTCCTCCTCCTCCTCCTCCTCCTCCTCCTCCTCCTCCTCCTCCTCCTCCTCCTCCATCTCCTCCTCCTCCTCCTCCATCTCCTCCTCCTCCTCCTCCTCCTCCTCCTCGTTGAACACTCGCGCGTCCTTCTACAGATCATTGACGATAATCAAGGGCACCTGCTCAGGGCGGCCTTTCAGTCGGTTGGCGAGAGGGTGCCCCGTGGAGCGAGAAGGAGGAGGAGGGTCCTCGTTCCCCCGGGATTCCTCTCCCTCTGCTCGCCGGCGAGCGAGGGGGGGAAGTTCGAGGTTCGAACTTCGAGGTTCGAGGTTTTCGGACGCTCTCGTCAAGTCTCGGCGGTTTTCTAGCCTCGCGATGCTTGCCAGCAGCTGCGCCTCGCCGAGGGCGTTCGGGGGTGCCCGGGCCGTCCCGAATGGCCGCGAGAGACACGAGTTATGACCCAGAAACCAAATTCGGCGGCGAGCGAGGGGCGGAAGTGAGAAGGAGAAGCCTTCTCAGAGGGCGGCGGAATTTCCCAGAAGCCCCTCGCGCCACCCGACGAGTTTTCTGTGTCTTCGGGGAAGGCTTAGAACGTTTCTCAGAAGGCCAGGGGACTTCCGAGCCTTCTGAGAAGGCCCGCCCCTTTCACTTCATCCCTGGACTCGCCGCCGATTAGTGGGAGGAGCATGAGGATGAGCATGATGACGACGACGATAACGATGACGATGCCGATGGCGGTGACGATGGCGGTGGTGTTGCTGTCGGTGTCGGCGTTGGTGATGGTTATGATGATGCTGGTGGTGGTGATGGGGGCGATGATACGTTTGACGCGGTTGAAGGTAATGCATCTAGTTGAGGTGATGATGGTGATGTTGATCATGACGATGCAGGTGGTGACGACGATGGCGTGTGTCACGAAGGAGTGTGGCCCCGGGAACGAGCGCGTGCCTATTTTTTCCATGAGGGATTGTGCATCGGGGCTTCGGCAGCGCAGGCCCGAGCTTCTTGCGGTTCCGCCCGAGCCGGGACCACACACTTGGAGGAGTGGCTGTCGTGCCCCTCCTGCTCCGCCCCCACCGGCCCCTCCTGCGAGCCCCCATCCGCAACCACTTGGGGCTCAGTCATCAGCGGCACTCACGCCCACTCCAACGCCATCGCATACACAATCTTGCCTCGCGGCAGCGGGCGCCCTTTCCCCCTCAGAGAACGCACGTGCGCATGGCCTTCGTGCAGATGGCCATCGTGCGCCTTGGCCTCCTGGTCGTGCAGGCCGGCGTGGTGGAGGGCCTACTCGTCGACGCGGTTCGCGCGCCCTTCTCATCGAGCGACGTCGATGTTCTGGATATCCTGAACAACAAACACCGGCATAACGCGTGAATTCTCGAGGGTCCGCGAGGATTTCTTGGGTTGGCGCTGGGCCCCATCCTTGCCGCCCCTGGCCGCGCCCCTGTCGCCGCCCCCCGCGCGCCGTGGGGAGGGTGCGGGGTGGAGGGGTGTCCGCTCCCGACACAGGTACTCCGCGCGGACCTCCGAATGTTTGCGCTTATGACCTGCTTTGTTTTTTCCAGCATCAGACAACAAATTCCAGACTGTCAGTTCAGAGGGGCGTTCACCAGTGGCAATTACGCGTACCTCACGCCTTACTTCAAAGGCAATGCTGGGTGGGGCGGCGTGCTCGTGCGGTTGGACCTCTCGGATTTCTCGACGGTGGAATCGCTGGACCTGAGGACAATCGACAGCGACCTGCAGTATTTTGAAGGAGGATTTGCTCATGGCGACTACGGGTACCTGGTTCCAACATCAACCACAGGGTGGACAATATCATACGACGTCAGAATGGGCAAAGTCGTCAGATTCAGCTTGTCAGATTTCAGCCTCAGCACCGTGCAAGTCCTCGACCTTGCGCAGACCGACGCCACTCTGAAAGGGTTCAGCGGTGGGTTTACCGATGGCGCGTGGGGTTACATGGTGCCGTGGTACCCTGCCACCACCGCTGGCCGGATCCCCATCTATTCTGGCAAAGTGGCTCGGTTCAGCCTGGCAGATTTCAGCACGGTGCAGGTGCTCGACTTAGAGGCGATCGACCCGAGCCTTGAGGGTTTCTACAAGGGGTTCTTCGCTGGCGGTTGGGGGTATTTACTCAAATCCAGGACTGGTGGCGCGGGTGATGGGAAAATGGTTCGATTCAGCGTGGCAGATTTTATTCGAGACGCTCCGCGTTCACCGCCCCTCGCTTCCAGTTTTCGCAGGCTCCAGGACTGGACGACGATATCCCGAAGATGCGGCACATGTTCCATTTTTTTTCTCCGCGCTCCACTTGTCCATCCCATCGCCGACTGGGCTCAGGTATTCCGCGTGGTTGAGCGATGATGAATTTGTCGATTAGTCGTCGGCCCGTCATCAGTACCAACGGATCAGTGGTATGGACGCTGGCGCTCTTGACCCTTGCCCCCTATCCACAGGAGGCCAGAGACAGCCGGAGCATTTCCCGAAACAAGTAACACACGGCCCGAAAGCGGCCCAAGCGGCGCCCGTAAAGGGCCGAAGAGGGCCCCGAGAAGGGCCCTAAAAGAAGCCAAGTTGTTATCGATGCCGCCCCGGGGGGCCCCTGGGCGGCCCATGCGACAGCACTTCTATGTGGGCCGCAAACCCGTTCATTGCCTAACAACAAGTGGGCCAGGATCTGGGCCGTTGTGGGCTCGGTTTTGACGCCCAAGTTGGGTCGAGAATCGCTTGACATTTACACTGGAGCGCGCCCGACAAAACAGCGTCGAGATTCGCATGCCAAAAGTTACCGCAGACGAGCCCGAGAGACAGCCATAAGAGACGACCGCGGGACCCCGAGCGAGACAGCAACCATGAACAACTTAAAGGAGTTTGTGCTACATGTTTGATGCTTCGAGTTTTGCGGGCGACGTCTGGACCCAACGGGGCGTTTTTCGAGGGCCTGGGGGAGCCGACGCCGAGAAGGGGCCCGAAGGGTCCGACGGCGCCAAAGTGGAGCCAGAATCAGGCCCGAAAGCGCGATGGGAACGGCGTGAAATTCGAGCTCGTCTTGGGCGCCGTCTGGAAGCAGTCTTGGAGCCCGAAAAAGGGCGTCGGCCGCGGCCGGGCGGCGGAATGGCGGAGGCCTTTGGGCTGGGGCGGGGGTTGCAAGAAGGACTTCTCACTGTTACATCTCACGCGGCCCTCTGCTCGGCGGGCGGGCGGATCCAGCGGGCTCACGCCATTCCGCCGACCCCGAGAGGACATGTGCGGATTCCGACTGCGTGCGTGTATGTCTGTTTTTTTTGCCACTTCCCGTCCTGCTGACTCCGTGTAGTTGTTGCTGATTCGTGCTCGTCTTTCTCCGTGTCTGTTGCGTTTTTTCTGCGGGCCTCTCGGACGCCTAGTGGGCGGCCTCGTGAGTTTTCCAAGGCTCCTTGGGGATTTTCTGTGTTCTCTGGGGGCTTCTTGGGGTCCTCTTGGGGTCCTCCTGGGGGTCTGGAGGGTCATCTTGCGTGGGGGGGTGTTCCCGCGGTCCTTGCTGCTTCCCCTCCCCCTCCTTGGGCCTCTCCTGAGCCCCTCTCTCTGGGCCTCTCGAGGCTCTGTCTGTGCCGCCTTGAGGGCTTCTTGGGCCGTCCTGGGGCCCTCTTGGGGCCGTCTTCTGGCCCCATTGGGGGCCCCTCGGGCCATCTTGGGCCATGTCAGGGGGGCCCCTCGCGCCGCGATGGCTCTCTGGACGCCCGAGCAGGCGAGGGGGCGAACGTCACTCGAGAACCTTGGCGAAGTCAGTGTGTGTTTCTGCCTCTTGAGGCCCTCTTGGGGGTCCTCTCGGCGTCTCGGGCGGTCGTCAGGCCATCTTGATTGCTTTTGAGGCCGTCTGGGCGTGGTGGTGCCCCCCTCGTGCCGTTTGAGATCGCATTTCGGGCACCTTGGAGGCGGCGCGGAGGTTGGCTTTGGATGCTCCGGAGGCCCTAGCGGCGCGTTGAGGAGCTCGTCCCTCCTCCTCCTCCCCCTCCTCCTCCTCCTCCTCCTTTTTTACGTTCGACTAATGTTAGGTGCGAGCCCGTTGCGTTCTTCCTCCTCCTCCTCGCTTCCTCCTCCTCCTCCTCCTCCTCCTCCTCCTCCTCCTCCCCCTTCCGAAACTCGATCTTGGACCCTGGGGGAGGGGGGGGGGAAAGGGGCATCTGTGCCCCCCAGCAAGCGGGGGTCGGCGGACTACAGTGGAAGTGCTCGACCTGACGAACACCGACGCTGGCCTCGCTGGCTTCTTCGGCGGATTCACCGACGGTACGTGGGGGTACGCTGTGCCGTACCATTCGGGGAGTGGCTTCTTTGGTAAGGTCCCGCGGTTCAGGCTGGACGACTTCAGCACGGTGCAAGTGTTGAATCTAGCGGATCAGAATCCGGCCCTGACAGGATTCTACAACGGCTTCACGGACGGTACGTTCGGGTATGTGATGGGCTACTACAACGGCGCCTACCACAGAACGGTGGTGAGGTTCAGCTTGGCCGATTTCTCCACCATCGAGGTGCGCGACTTTGCTTCAGAGGTGGGCAATGATCACATGACGGCGGGCGGCTTCGTGCACGGCGACGACAGCTACGCTGTTCTCCGACCATCGAGGTGCGCGACTTTGCTTCAGAGGTGGGCAATGATCACATGACGGCGGGCGGCTTCGTGCACGGCGACGACAGCTACGCTGTCACGGCAGGCGGCAAGGTCATCCGCTTCGACGCCCAGCCTGCCGCCCAGGTCGCCTTGCGGAGCGGAGAATGAGGAGAAGGAGGGGAACCAGCGTGAACCTAAGACGCACCATCGAATGATGTGGCAAACAACCTTCGTTCCAAGTTTCCTCGCCGCTGGCCCCTGGAAGAACTTATTTTCATGGCTGGAGGCGCCACGTTGGAAGACAATCGCGCCAAAACGCCACTCCTGGGATTTCAGCGCCGCGAATCAGCGGGATTGCTGCGTCCTGACAAATCTAATCGTGGTAGAAAACCGTTCCTGGGTTTTCAGCGCCGCGAGCGAGTCAACGTGACTGCGGCGTCCTGACAAGCCTGAATTGTGCCAGAACGCCATTCCTGGGACTTCAGCGCCGCGAATCAGCGTGATTATCGCGTCCTGACAGCCTTAGATCGTGCCAGAACACCATTCTTAGGATTCCAGCACCGCGAATCATCGTGACTGCTGCGTCCTGACAACCTTCATTCGTGCCAGACCTTTGTTCCTGAGATTTCGACCATGTGAATCCTTGAAACTGGCGCAAGCTGTTGCGACGGAGATGCGCGGCGCCAAGGCAGAGCCACACTCTGCAGGGGAGCCGCCCTCCATCCTCGAACGTGGTGCAAACTTGCAAGACGCATGCGCGCGGTGCGAAGGCGAGAGTCACACTTTGAAATCCACTCGCGCCCTGCATCCTTGATTGAAACTGTTGCGAATTTCAAGTTTCAGGGTCGCTCGCGGCGAGGAAGTCTCAGGCGAAACGCCGGGTCTGCCCTGCTAGGGATGCGGTGGGGTGGAGTTCTGTTTCGGTGAGGAGGAGGAGGAGGAGGATGAGGAGGAGGCGGAGGAGGAGGAGGAGGTGGCGGAGGAGGACGAGGAGGAGGAGGAGGAGGAGGAGGAGGAGGAGGAGGAGGAGAGGGGAGAGGAGGAGGAGGCGGAGAGGAGGGGATGGGGAGGGGGAGGGGGAGGAGGAGGAGGAGGAGGAGGAGGAGGAGGAGGAAGAGGAGGAGGAGGACGGGTCGCCTAAGCCCTTCGGAATAACAACCACCCCCGATCGCCGCGCGCGAAGCGACAGTAGTAGAGTCTTTTGCGCTCGTGTTCTTGGCCCATCCGCGGCCCCCCAAGAAGCCGCGCACCAAGGGTCACTCTTGCCTGGGGTCTCTCTTGCGTGTAGCCGAAGGGCCCGCTTCCCCCAGCACCCGCCTCCAGGACAGGGCCGCATACGATCCGATTCGATGCGATTCGATTCGCCGGCTGGGGCCGCGATTCCAATTCGACGTGGCCCGGCTCTGCTCACCGGCATCGGCCAGGGCCAGCTGGAGGCGGGGCGCGGCGATCCGATACCGATCCGATGCGGGACGCTTCGCTGGCGATTCGACCCGCTCTCGACCCGATTTGATTGCGCGATCCGATGCAGCGCAGACCTGCCACCATCGGTCGAAGCCCGTCGGCCGAAGCCCGAAGCCCCGTCGGCCCCGAGCCCCCCGGCCGTCGGTCGAAACCCGTCGGGCTTTGGCCGTCGGTCGAAGCCCCCCGGCCCCGAGCCCCGTCGGGCTTCGGCCGTCGGTCGAAGCCCGTCGGCCGAAGCCCGAAGCTCGGGATCTCGCGCGGAGCCCGTCGGCCCCGCACCAGGCGACTCCGCCTCCGAGCCCGAGCCCGACGCCCGCCCCCGCGCCGCCCGGCGCGGGCGCGGGGGGCTCCGGGGCCTCCGCCGTCGGCGACCCGCATCTGCAGAACGTTCACGGCGAGCGGTTCGACCTGATGAAGGATCGGCGGCGCGCCGATGTCGGAGGTTGACACCTCCTACTAGGGGACGGCAAGTGACATAGACATACAAATTCGGAGGTCCGCGCGGATTTCTCGGATCGGCGCTGGGCCCCCCCGGCGGCGCCTCCGGCGCCGCCCCTGGCGCGCTCCGCGCGCCAGGGCTGGGGGTCCAGCGCCGATCCGAGAAATCCGCGCGGACCTCCGAGTTTTTATGTTTACGCTACTTTGTGTTCCCCTACCCAGCCTGACACGTCGATAAAGGAATTGGCCGGTTTCGGTTCGCGAGAGGGCGTCGCGGCCGTTATTTTTGCGGGTCCAGGTCCGTCGGTTTCGGTCCCAGGCCGCGGTCACTGAGGGGAGGTTTACTAAAGGGAGGTCTGTCCACCGCCGACGATGGCGGGAAGCTCGACGAAGAAGATGAAACATCGCCAGAGGCAGAAACTCCTGGCGCTCCGCGCGGACTCCTTCGGTCCGCGCTGGGACCCCCCTCGGCGGCGCCTCTGGCGCCGCCCCTGGCGCGCTCCGCGCGCCAGGGAGGGGGTCCAGTGCAGATCCAAGAAATCCGCGCGGAACGCCAAAAGCTTATGTTTGTGCCGTGTTTTTGTTTTGTCTTTTTCTAGAAGTGAGAGGGGGAAGGCCTTCTCGGGAGGCGGCGGAGCTTCGGGGAGTGCTCCGAGAGCCCACGAGGAGGCCGAAGAGGCCCTGGGAACTCCCTGGAAAAGGTTCCTCCCCCTCCTGCCTTCCCACCTGGGCGCGCCGCCGGAAGGAGGGCAAGCATGTTCTGATAAACATCCCTCGTGGAAAGAGTCCTGACAGCGCCTTGCTCCACGTGAAGGCCGATGCGCGCCGGTTGGGTGGGCAGTGCGCGGACCTGTATTTCCAAGAGCTGAACGTTACGGGGTCTTGGGCAGAGGCAAAGCAGGCTGGAGGGTATCACTACAGCGTGTCGCATCACGACGTCGAGACTCCGGGGTGGATTGCCTATGGCAAGGTTGAGCTAAAAGTCATTCGTGGACGTGCGCACAACGGCCTCCGTTACTTGAACGTGTACGCGAAGCATTTGCGTCGAGCGGGGTTTGCTGTCGGGGGGCTGCTGGGGGAAGATGATCATGATGACGTAATCGTTCCCCCAGGCTCATGCGCCAAGCGTCTGGCTCTGGTGGGCGACGAGAAAGCGGGCAGCGAAGACCCCTCGGTTGCCTCAGTCGCGGTAGCAACCCTCGCGTAGCTGCGCTGCGGCCTGGACGGCACCGAGGGCATCTCCCCGACCAGTCCACGGATCGGTGACCGCGCCTGAAGCCAGCGCCGGTGGGCGCTCTCCTGTCCTCCCCTCCTCCCCTCGTGCCTGGCCCTCGGCCCGTGGACGGAGCGAATGCGTTCGCGTCGTCGGGCCAGCGCCATTTTTGATGCCGTTTCTGTTCAGGACTTCCGCTTCTGAAAGAAAAGGTCCCAACACGCCTCTCGCCGCCAGCCGCCGGCGCCCAGGTCTGATGGCCTGCGTGGCATGGCTGGTGGGTTGGTTCAGCTGGCGGATTGGCTGATGGGTTGGCAGGTTGACAAGGTCCATGCCGGTACGATCGATCCAAATCGGTATCGATTCCTGCTGGCTCGATCCGAGCCGGCTCGATCCGATTCGATTCCCGATGTTCCAGTGATGCGATGCGTCCCGATGCGTGCCTGGTGCTGTTGCGTATCTTGGCGCAGCCGATTCGACTCGACCTCGATTCCATGCCGATGCAGCCCGGTCCGACGCGCAGGTTGATTCGGCTCGAGTTCCATATGCGATGCTGGCTGATCCTGCGCTCGGTTGGCTGGTTGTGTGGCTGGACGGTTGGCAGGTTGATTGGCTGGTTGGCTCCTTGGCAGGCTGGCTGGCTGACTGGATGGGTGGCCGGTTGGCTTCTTGGCAGACCTGCCGGCAAAACGGGCAGGAAGCAGAGGGAAGGGACGGAGCCGGGTGCACACTCTGGTGCTTCTGGGACGGAGCTCGGTGCACACGCCGGCGCTTCTGATGCCGTCTCCGTTCCCGCTTCGCTGCTCCATGCGGCGCGCGCTGGGGTAGCCCCTCGCCCCCCCGTCTCGCTCTTCCTCCCCCATCCCCGCGGTTGATCCCTCCCCGTGCCTGCTCGTTCTGACTCTCCGTTGCCCCTCCCGCTCTGGCCCTCTCCGTGCGGCCCTCCCCCCCCCTTGCACAGGGCTTTCGCCATCGTTCCCCCCGCGCCCACCGCCCTCTTTGTTCCCGCGTGCCGCGCCTGCTCCCTCCTCCCTGCTGCTCCTTGGTTCTCCTCCCTCCCCTCCTCGTCCCTCGCTCCTCCTCCTTCCTCCCCCCTTCATGTTCCTGCTTCTCCCTCCTCCCTCCTCCCTGACTCCTCCTCCTCCTCACTCCTCCTCCTCGTCCTCCTCCTCCTCCTTCATTCCTCCTCCTCCTCCTTCTCCTCCTCCCCCCCTCCTCCTCCTCCTCCTCCTCCTCCTCCTCCTCCTCCTCCTCCTCCTCCTCCTCCTCCTCCTCCTCCGTCTCCTCCTCCCTCTCCTCCTCCCTCGTCCTCGTCCTCCTTCCTCGCCTCCGTCTCCTCGCCTTTACCGTGCGTGCCTCCCTCCTCTGCCGCCCCTTCCCGCCCTCTCGCCGTCTCTCCTCCCCTGCACCCCGTGGGCGCCCGCGCGTGGGCCTGCGTGGGAGAGGCTCCCAGCGGCCTCCCCCCCCCCTGCAGCGGACGTTCGTCGTCGTTCACCGTCGTCGTCATCAGTGGCGTCCTTCGCCTACTGTCGGACCGAGGGAGAAGATCGAGGTCGGTTCGGGGAGGGTGCCCTGACATTCTTGGTGGTTGTTGGACGCTCTTGTGCACCCATGGGGAGGGCACCCTCGGATGTTCTCTGTGTTTTGGCCAGCGGAGGGTCTCATGTTCTTGAAGGAGGTGGTTCTTCTGCCCTAGGTCCGACGGTACACGCAAGAGTGGCCCTTCGCCGGAGTGACCTCTTGTACGGGCACACAAGGGATCCCAAGATGGTTGAGCGCCATGAGAAGACAGCGGCTTTCGCGCTCGGGTTTGGCCCCCCTGAGCCCCCCGAAAGTCGCCCACCGAATGTCATTCTTGCCCAGGGTCACTCTTGCGTGTAGCCGAGTCCTCGCCATCGTCGTCGCAGTCATGGCTTCCATGGTCGTCGCCCCTTCGTGAATTTTCGTCGTTGTCGTCTCTGCCAATTGTTGGTACTTCTGTCGAATCGTCGTTGTCATCTTCGTCATCATCGTTTGTCGCATTCGTCGATGTCGTCATCATTGCCGACGCCATCGTCGTCATCGTCGTCATCGTCGTCATCGTCGTCATCGTCGTTCCCGTCTACGTCGTCATCGTCATCGTCGTCCTCGTCATCTTCATTGTCATCATCATCATCATCATCATCATCACCATCATCATCACCATCACCATCACCATCACCATCATCAGCATCATCATCAGCATCATCATCAGCGTCATCATTATCATCGTCGTGGTCGTCGTCGTCATCGTCATCATCACCAGCACCATCAGCATCAGCACCAGCATCGTCATCATCATCATCATCATCATCAGCAGCATCATCATCATCATCATCGTCATCAGCATCATCATACTCACCAGCATCATCATCATTCTCACCTTCATCAGCATTATCATCAGCAGCAACATCATCATCCTTGTCCTTGTCGTCATCATCCGCAGCATCGTCATCATCGTCATCTCGTTCATGGGCACAAACAGCCATGGTTGCCATTGAAGTTTCCAGCATGGAGGGAGGCCGTTGACAAGATTGCGTGCGTGTGCGTGTGTGTGTTTTGGAGAAGGGGGGCGGGGGCGGGTGGGCGGCGGGCGGCGGGCGGCCTTGCGTGCTGTATCCTGTCAGACATTCATACCCTAATGGCCTGAGGCCCGAGTGCCCTGAGGCCCGATGGCTTTGATTCCCAGAGGCCTCAGGACCCTCGGGCCCCTCAGACACGAAGATACCACTACCCAAGACCCTGTGAGACCCCAAGAGCCCCAAGGCATTCCTGCCCGAAGACCCCGCGGCCCTGAGGCCCCGAAGCCCAGGGCGCCTTCGACCAGGAGGCCGTGGAGCCTTATTGTGCTGAGACCCCGGGCCTTCGTGGCGGGAAGACCCTCCGACCCCAATGCCCGACGTCCCCAGGACCCTGAGCTTTGAAGACCCTCAGACCACAGGGCCCTAATACCCAAGACGCCAACGCACTAAGACCCTAAGACCCGTCACGACCTGGGGACCAGAACTCCTCTTCACGACAGATAGACCCGAAGACTCGACGAAGCGAAGGCTCGACAACAGTCGGACCGAGGTATAAGATCGAGGTCGGTTCGGGGAGGATGCCCTAGTGCTCTTCGTGGTTGTTGGATGCTCTTGTGCTTCCAGGGGAGGGTACCTCTGGATGTTCTGTGTGTTTTGGCTGACGGAGGGTCGCATGTTTTTGAAGAATGACATTCGGGCCCAGGTCCGATTGTAGTAAGACCTCAAACCATGAAGAGCCTAACATATTCTGACTCTAATACCCTCATGCACTAAAACCCCAAGACTTCCATACAGTAGTACCCCAAGACTCGGACACTCGTATAGCCTAAGACCTGACGACCCCAACATACGATGGGCCAGATTCCCAAGGCCCCCATCTACTCATACACGAAGAGCTGAAGACTGTAAGGCGGGAGGACCCTATGACCCTAGGTCTTGACCTGACCTAACACCCTGATGCCCTACGACCCCAAGGCCCTTAGACTTGAAGGCACTACTGCCCTAACACCCGAACGCGCTAAGACACTAACACCTTAAGGCCCTGCTACCTCTCTCCCCCCTGGACGATCGTAAGAGGAAAGGGGGGTTCACGGTGCACGCGGCCGCCGTGGAGACGGAGGCTGTTGAGTATCGGGTGTGGTGTTGGATACGACGGTTGCTGAGTATACGAGGTGTGTGTCGGAGGCGGACATGGGGCGGGCGGCGGGTGGCCCGTGGGCGGCGCGTGGCGGGGAGGCGGCGGGTGGATCGGGTTCTTAATCGAATTCCTAACAACACTCTTTTGCAGCGGGATGCTGCTGAGCAGATGGGTGGGGCGTTGGAGACGGAGGCTGTCGATGATCGGGTGTGATCTTCGAGATGGAGGCTGTTGAGTAGATGGTGTGGATGTGTGTTGGGCACGGAAGCGGGGCGGCGGGCGGCGGGCGGCGGGCGGGCGGTGGGAGGCTCCACGTTCTATTCGAGGTCCTACGGGTTGACTCTAGCAGCGGGATGTTGTGGAGTAGAGGGGTGGGGTGTTGGACGCGGAGGCTGCTGAGTGCAAGGTGTGGTGCTGGGGACGGAGGCTGTTGAGCAGATGGTGTGTGTGTGTGTGTGTTGAGACGGAAGCGGGGCGAGCGGCGGGCGGCGGGCAGGCGGCGGGCGGGCCTGATACATACATACGAGCGTGTGTCCTGAATCCACTCGGGCCCGCATACCCACACGACCGAAGACCCGCATGCCCTGAGCCCCGACGGCGTTGCTTCCCGCAAAGCTTTACGACACTCCTGCCCTGAGACAGTGGGATACCCATACGCAGCCATGGGAGCAGAATTCTTGCAGCTGTGTTGGTGGCCAGCTGAGGGCGTCTTGGGAGTCGATGGGTCACGAAGTGCGCCAGTAATTCGAAGCAGTTTTGGCCCACAGCCCGAAGTCTTCCGAACGATCCCAGAGACAGCTGCCTCCGATTGAGAAGCAATGCGTGGGTTGGTGCACATCCAGGGTAGCCAGTGCGGCAACCAGATCGGGGCGAAATCCGTAAGGGCTTCGCCTCCTGCCGCCGACCCCCACTCTATCATAATGGGATATATCAGAGTCGCGTCGGTGCGCCTCGGCGCGCGCATCTGGGAGCATCATGCGGGGGCGGATGGGAGCATCAGCGCATATTGAGACGCTCGCGTTATCCTAGTGGCCTGTGGCCCATCCCGCCACCGTGCCTGGGTTGTGTGTGGGTCTGAGGCCTCGTTTATATGTGTTGGGGTGTTGTGGTGGGCCTCTGGGGGACCACCTGGAGGCGGTTTGGGCGCCTCTCGGTGGCCTCTTGGGGCCTCGTGGGGTATCTTTTGGGCTTTTTGGAGGCTTCTTGGGCGCGTCTTGGGCGCCTTTTGGGGCCTCTTGGGGCTTCGTGGGGCCTCTTGACGGCCTCTTGGGGCCTCCTGGCTTCTCGGGGTACGAATATCGAATGTTTGGTTTGTG